CCGCCCCCCGGCCCCAGCAGCCTGCCTCCTGCCTCCTCCGGCCCCCCAGCCCTGCCCTACAGCACCGCCTGCCCCTCGCCCGTCAGCGTGGCCCTAGACAGCACCGTGGGCACCAAGAGGGAGCGGGAGCCCGAGGGGGCCGGCCCCGGCCCCTTCCCCTCCAGCGGTGGGAAATCCCGTGCGGTCGCCCTGTCCTTCGGCCGGTTCCTGAAAAGGGGCTGCTGGACCTCGCCCGTCTTCGCCACGCTCTCGCCCAAGTGCCCAGCCATGCCCCATGGGAAGGTGCAGCGGGGCCGCCCGCTCCAGCCGGACACCAAGGCGGTGAGCAGGTAAGGACCGTGCAGGCACTTGGATGCCCTCATGAAGGGCTCGCCTCTGGGACTAATTGGGTTTGTAATAAGCCCAAGGTTGAAATAGTATCAGCTGAGCCCATTAAAGTGGGTCTTGTGCTTCATATTGCAGTCAGCTGTCGCCATCTCGCCCCCATGTCTGCCTGCTGTGGGGCCGCACGTGATGGTGGCTGCCAGAAGCGGGCACCAGCTTCGCTCCTCCTTGGCGTCAGGCAAGAAAATGGAGGCGCTGCACCTTCCCGCTGGCCCCGGGGAGCAGCGGGCCATGAGGCTGCTGGGGTGCGGCATGGCGCAGCCAGGGATGGTGGCCTCTCCTCCCCCCTGGGGACACCAGGCACCTGCACTGCCTGTCCCCCTGCAGCCATGTCAACTCTTGCCCTGTGTCCCTGAGCCTCCACACGCTGGAGCAGGCCGGAGGAGGTGGCGGCCCCCTTGCACGAGACAGCCCCAGCTCAGCGTGAAGATACATTTACGTTTGTAAATTGTCCACATTAAGAGGCTTCACGGGCCGGGGGGCCTTGCTGCCCTATGTGCATTAGCAGAAGTTGTTGTTCTGGTTATTTTGGTGGCTTTGGAGACGAGCTCGAGGTCTTTGCACCAGCAAAGATGGTGAGACATTCGGGTGCTCTGGGCTAGGGACCCCGTATATCCCTGAGAATCCTCCCCGCGAGGCTGTGCGGCGCTGCGAGCCCGGCTGACGGTTGCCTTTCCTGCAATTGCATCTAAAAACCACCACTGGTATTTGTGCTGCCTGCCCCAAATCATGGCCAGGCCTCTAAAAGCGTCTCTTCCCCTTGGCTCCTTGCACTTGCTTTCTGTATTGGATGTGTTTTCTGATGAGAAACGGGCAAGAGGCCACGCTGGCAGTTCCTCTCTGCTGCGCTTACGCCTCCTGTTCATGGTGTAAAGCCCCCAGGTTTTACTTTTGATCCCTGAATTTGGAAAACCGCTCATGTATTTGTGTTTGCTCTCGAGCATTGGTTTAGGTTTGGTTTAATGATTTGAAAGTCAGAGGAGACCCAGAAGTAACAAGGGAGGAGAAATCTTGAGGGAGAGTCGTGAAATGTTTGTCATCCCGGAGCAGGATGCGGAAGAATGGGGATTTTTTGCCTGGAGAGGCTGTCACTGTTGAAACCAAATCTTGGCCGTGTCCCTCACCAAGAGTAACGTGTCCTCAACCTCTTTTAATCCACCCCTGCTGCTGACCAAGTGGATGAGTCCGCATTATAAATTCAAAAGCACAAATCTGAGGGCTCCTTCTCCACCTGGCTCTGCGCTCCGGCTGTGCCAGCGCCGTGTCGCACAGCAGTTTTGCTTCAAAGGGGTGGGAGTGCACATTTGCTTCGATTTCCATCTCTGTGGGCTTGTGCTCAGGAGTTTTGCTTTGGGATTTGGGGTTTGAACAATGGAAAACTCAAAGCCATACTCTGTGCTGCGTGTTCGCTGTCTCAGAGAGCACATCAAAAAGTGCCGTATGCGTGATGAGTTTTTATTTCACAATGCAGCTTCTTCCAAATAAAAATGGATGCTCCTTTGGAGAGCAGAATCTACCCCATAGACTCTGAGGAGGGAGAAGACAACCGCCACCGAGCTCGTAAGGACTCTGCGAAGGAGGTGATCTGCCCTTGGGAGAACCCCACGGAAGAGGGGAGAGCTGGGTAACAAGCAGCCCAGACAGGGACCCTCTCTTTCCAGGCCTGAGACCACAAGGTTTGCCATGTATGGTTCAGTATGTGGGCCATGCTGTTGAAGAAGTGCATTAGAGTCATCGTTCAGCATCAAGGAAGCTCAGACTACCACAGCTATGAATAACGGACCCTGGTGTACCCATCTGTTTGTAATTCAAGAATTTGGAGCATTTCTGGACTGGTTTTCTTTCCTATCTTTGCTATATTCAGATCTATTAATTACAAACTTCTTGATAAATGATCCTCATTTCTTGCCTTATAGCAGATGGAGAATTTATGTGTGTGTGTGTATATATATATATCTCCTGGGAAATGGTGTCTTATCTGAATTACTTGCTTGGCCATGAGGTGTCAGCACACTGTACACAACACAGCTGGAGCAGAGCTTACAGGCATTTTTCAGAGTAGGACTTAGACTTCAATGCCAAGATTGGGGCATGTTTGTGTCCCCAGCTTGGGTCCACCTCTTATTATTAATAACAATTTTTAAATTTTAAAGCAAGTTCATTAAGAGACAGCTGATTGCTGGGTAAAATAAAGTAAACCCCTCATGAGAAGCTGTGTACTGTATAGCATAGCATCATTCCTTAATCCAAACCAAAAATGATCCCAAAGAGCAAGCAGTGCAGGAGGAGAGCAAAGGCTCCAGAGCACTGCTGCATTAGCTCCAGTTTCCCTTTGGTGGCCTCTCAGTGCCAGGATGGGTTTTGAAACCATGACCTGAACTGCACCCGACAACACCTGGGAAGATCCAAAACAAATCCCTGGTGGTGTTTTGGGCCTCTCCAAACTTAGATTGATGCATTGCCACAGTCTTTAACTGTGTTGTTATCAAGAGCGTTAGAAGGTTGCTTTCCTTACGTCATGTCCATGTTTGAAGATGTTTTTTTTGTTCAAGTGTGGAGGGGTTTCCTTGATGCGTGTGATGTGGGTCATTATTCTGTCATTTGGCCACGTGGCCTGTGACTTTTGATGTCGCTATTTTATATTTCTAATTGTAAATGGAGCTTTGCCTGTGTGGCTGGGGTGGTTCACCATGCTGACTTCTACTGTGGGATTTAAAGTCTCTCCTCACACATGCTCGGGGGTCCCCGTTTCCCCCAGGTCTGGGACAACACTTCTAATCACAGGCAGTTCGGGAAAATCAAGAGGCTGTTTCTGTTTCCAAAGACTCTTCCCCAGGGGAGCAGAAAGATACACTGCCCCAAAGCAAAGGTTGAGCAGGAGGGTGCCGCCCCACGCTGCCCATGATGCTACTCTAGTACGAATGCATGTTTGCTCTTACTGGCTTTGCTTTGTCGGAAGGATCTGGTTCTGCTCTGGCCGTCACTAGTGGTGGCCACCTATTACTCATGAGAGACAAACGTGGTGTCTTTTGTGATTGTTTTTGTTAATAGTGTTACTCAGCTACTCCTGACAAGACACTGATAATGTATAATCCAGGAAACAAGACAGGGAGACATTGTGATGTGTAAGAGTTAATAATATTATATTTAATATTATATACATATTATAAGAGCTATTCTACAATTAATATTTCTCTCACTGGTTTGCGGTTCCTCTTGTGCACCTCCTTGCCTTCTACTCCAGAAGCCAACAGCGGCCGTGGATCAGCAGTGTCTGGGGCTGGGACGTGGGTCACGATCCATGTGCACGGAGCCGGGGTGGGCGCTCAACACCGGCTCCCCAGGCTGGCTTCCTCACCACCTCGGCTCCTCATGTCCTCAGCTTGCTGAGGAAGACGCACGTCTTGTTCTCAGTTTCACAAGCTGACGAACGCATGCATTCTCCATGATGAACTTGGGCACTACTCTTATTTATTTTGTGCTTAGCAAGAGCAATGTAGCTGGTGCTATATAATACCCAGCTACCATGAGAACCTCTTTTCAGCGGTGTACAGTTCGCTAGCCACAGGGAAGAGGGGACGCACCAAGAAACTCTTGTCAAAGAGATGGGTCTCACCCACACTGGCCTTGGTGAGGGGAGGCACTTCCTCCGCTGCAAAGAGGCACAGAGGGAAACGTTTGTGGAAATATCACTGGGTTTATTTCCAGTGACGCGGGGCAACCAGCATTTCATCTCCAGACACAGCTTTGTGTGAGCGGAGACCAGGATGCGGCTGCGCTGGCTCTCCAGTGGTGCACACGCGGGTGACGGAAAGCTCACGCTCTCTGGTGACCTGTTCTGCTCCCTAGGGGATGGACTGTGAAGATCTCCCCATCTTTGCCAAGGAATTAAATAGTGCCTTGGCCTCATGTTCATCTTCTAAACCAGAGGAAGGACTTCAGGATCTAAAACTGGCTGCTCTGTCAGGGCTTGGACACCCTGATGCAATTCCATCCAGTCAGATACATACGTGTCCCAGAGGTCAGCACTGGGAATCGCCAACATTTATCCCTTCAGGGCACTGCTTTTTTCCCCCAATGTATTTCAACTTGAGGACTCCTATAATTTTTTCCCCTGGGGGGCACAGGCCCCCATGTCATGCATCTCAAGCCCGTGCCTTGCTTGCCTTCCTTCCTCCCCTCTCCCGCGGACCCCCCAGGCGCCTGCCAGCAGCAGGTTGAAAACCACAGCTCCGGAGGCCCCAGATCCCTCCTGCCACTGCGCTGCGCTCGCACGGTGACATCTGACGATCTCGCCCCCGCTGGAGGCCTGGCGTGCTGGAGTCGGGAGCGCTTTCAGCTCTCACAGTTCAAATCCCCTCGCTGTGCAGGAGCCCATTTAATGCTGCCTGGAGTCACCTGGAAGAATTAGCTCGCTACAGCAACTTAGACATCCAAGGTATTCCGATAATGTGAGGGATGTGTAAGGTTAATGACTGGAAAAAGTGATCGCTCCCTGTGGGCAGTTTCTCAGAAAACTCCCTGCTGCTTGGCTGACAGAAGAAAGGAGACTCCAGCAGCAGCGAGGAAGCCCCGTGCCCTCACCGCAGCAGCTCCGCTCTCCTGCCTCCCGCGGCTGCGGGGGCTCATGGCTGGCACAGACCCGTGGAGCGGCCGTGGCTCCGCTCCGGCTTGTTGGTGCTGGAAGAGCTCCCCATGCTCCAGGTCTGAGCTGACACGCTGCAGGAGGGGACGCAATGGTCGGACTTCAGATATTGTTTGAATGAACCTGGAAGGAAGACGCTTAATTAGCCGTGTGGTTCTACAACGTGCTCCACTCCCACCTGTGGGGGTCCCACACCCCGTGTTAGGGTGGGCTCCTCCAGCATCCTTTGCTCAGGCTCAGGCTGACCCACGGCTGCTGGGATTTGTTTGCATGCTCGCTCTGCAGTGGTGGGCCAGCCCGAAAAGCAAGAGCAGCTGCTGGGGTTCCCCCAAACTTCCATGAAGGCTCTTCCCAGGCTGCCTCAGCCATCAACCTCAAGGGGACACTGTTGGGATAGGATGGGAGCGAGTCCCATGCTTGTGAACCTCAGCCTTTTGCTGGAGCGATGGGCAGGAGGTGGATCCTGCGGCGCGGGCTGCCAGCTTTGGGGCGAGCCCTGCTCCGGCCGTGCTGCTGCTCTGCGGCTGGGGCTGCTCTGCGGCTGTGCCGTGGTGCTGGGGTACGCGCCACGCTGCGCCTAGCCTGCAGGGTGGAAGGAGAGGCGTATGTGGGGGCACGGCCAGCTCGGTGAACCTAATTAAAATTAGAGATCTGTTTTCCAGGCGATTGGCATCTCTCAAATCTCCCTTTAAATCTGACATTTCACTCTCTCCTCTCCAGCTGGGACGTACAGCCAAAGTGCCAAAACCACTGAGGGCCTGTTTTTTCTCTGAAGTCTTGGACTGCGCATTGCTCAAGTCTCGTTAATTTAAAAATGGAACAAAGAATGCTCAGCATCCAGCAGGATCAGGCCTCAGGAGCAGGAAGTACCAGCTGGCTCAGGAGAGGGCTTGTTCCCATGAGATTCCCAGTGCAGTTTTGGCAGGCGGCATGGTTGGGATAGCTCCGCGAGCAGGCTCTTCCTGCCTGAAATGCCAGCCGCGGCAGAACAGCTGACTCAGAGCATGACAGCTCTTCACAGCATCCCCTTGTGAAAGGAGCCGTCAGAAACGTTCCTGACACCGCTGCCTTTACATCTTGTGAGGGTGGCTTGAAAGCCGAGATGTAAGCCGAGCCCACGTCATGATGCTCTTGGAAACAGTGCTCTGTGGGTGGAATTCACCTCTGTGCAGGGGCTGCATCGCATTACATCCTACTCGGGTCCCAGAATAGGATGTCCGTCGAACTGAAGTGGTTCATGGTACATTCACCCCAACATCTGAATATCTGAATTACGATAAATATATTACGAAAGAGTCATCGTGGCTTGGCTTTTTGGGGTGCAGGAGCATCAGAGATGCAGGAAGAAACCCAGTCCCCAGGGGAATTTTCCCCTTGCCACAAGAGATATGTTTTATGCATTTTGCAATACACCTGGCCCAGAAGCAGAGGTGAGCACCTCGCAGGATCCCTTTTAGGGTAGAGGTTCCCAGATCTGTTCTGCGCTACACTAAAGAGGAAAAGATGAGCTCTTGCAAGTCAGTTTACTTTTTAAAATTCATGTAGCCATAGCAGCTTAGCACATTGTCTCAAGTCCTCCTTCTTGCAAAACTTTGATCACCATGAAAACAGAATTATGTTGTTCTCCAACATGTTTTACATATAAATATATTGGAGTTCCCATAGTTTATGCTTCAACATCTCTGCAAAGACCTCTTTTATTTCTCGCTCACAAAAAATTTCTCTGGCCAAAGGACAGTATTTTAAATCCTTGAGCTGCATCGGGCTCAGTCTCGGTGTAAAGCCGGCTCCTCAGCATCTCCGTGGTCCTGCTGCTCGTGTTCCCAGACGAGGTTCTGGTTCCAGTGGTTTCTAACACACTCTGGTACAGCACTGAAGCCCAGCCACTGACTTCTGTCCCCAAAATTGCAGGAATACCCTCCTCCCTTGGCTCTGCTCTCTGGCCATCAGCCTAGTCTCTTCCCTGGAATACCAAAAGAGCAC